ATCGGAAATGGTCTGCAGTCAGTTGGTTGTTACCATGCGCCAGTGATGTTGGAGTATATAGTACAGCAAGATGAAACTATTATGCAGGCCAAATGAATAAAGTTCGGAGTTTGTCGGGTAGTGAAATGATTATTGTACATTTTACGGTGATTAATTTAATTAGCGAATTATTTCGAAGTTCTCTCTTTCCAAGAGGGGATGCAAATGCTTTGTGAAAATGAGTACGCCGCGGTACTCATTTTCACAAAGACCTGATGAGGCCAACACCGCAACAACCCCCGACGGAGCCGGCAACAAACTCTGAGACTGAGGGGCAGTCTGAGCTGCCCAATCAAGAGCCGCCGCAAACTGAGTAGGGGGCCAGCGCGCACAAACCTCGCAAGGCTCCGCCTGGCTACACGAACGGCACAAAGGGCACTTCGAGTGCCTATCGAGCTTGACACTCGGTTTGGGGCCCCCACACGCCGAGCACAACGACTTGCCTGCCGACATAGCGGAAGAGACTACCGAGAGCTACAAAAAAGGATATGTTGTAAAATCAACTTCTTGAACAAAATCCAAGGAAGAAAAATAAAATTCCAGAATCCAGCCACTTCTTGAAAATAAAATCCAAGGCAGAATAATCCTTATCACGAACACGCTAACACGTGGAACAACTCTATGATAGAGCACTCTGAAGGAGGTTCACTTTCCAACGAAGGTCGAAAAGGGAATGAGGACGTTTGTTAGGGAGACGGTTCGTACGTGGCGCCCTTGGTCGGACTGTTCCATTTATTTCGAAGGGGTGTTCCATTTGGGAACAATGGCAATTTGTCGGTTTATCCAGGTAAGTATTCACGAAATAGACACATGGATTCTTTTAACTTTGTATTGTGTGCATTGATGTTACAACTATATCAACCACCATCATAGAAGATGTTGCAAATGTTTTTACTTTTATGTTTAGAAACTTTCATTTTTTTTCAAATTTTATTTATCGCAAATACTTCAATTGTCTAACCTGTATAGTTGCTTCATATGACGATAAGTCAACGGAAACCTCTTCTTCAGATTTCACAACAGCATCTGCTTCAGTAACAGTCAGGCTTACTTCTGATAATCAGAACGAATAAAAACAATTTTTCAATATTTGAACTGAATGGTAACTGCATACATTATTCAAATTCCAGAATTAAGACAAGAAAAGAAAATATACGTTTATGAGAATAACATATCATTATATTCTTTACGAATATAATACCAGTGTGTAATTATCCTCGCCTAACCTACAATAACAACCCAGCAGACAGGGGGTCCGACGTGTCTGACGAAGGGGTTCGAACCAAGGGACGATAAAGCCTCCATCGACGGCCCGGATTAAAAAAAAAAATCTATGTTAGGGTTCATGGAGAAAGTTTTTATGGCTAAATGTGCTTTTAGACCACAAAGGGATTGGCAATCAAAATAGCATTATTTCAATAGGCAAATTATTATTTTTTAAAATTTTTGGTCCGACGACCTAGTCGTTCTTCGGATGACAGGCAGTCCAGACCTGTTCGTCGGGTATCCAGACCACTGTCACAACCAAGACTATTTATTACATTTCAACATATTGGCTTTTTCAATTGAAAGCTATTGATTATTTTAATTACAAATTAAGCAATTCAAATATATAATTTACTGTCTAGGTTTTATATTAGTTGAACACACAGTATACCTTCAAGAAGTAAACAAGATAAAATAATTAACTGTACATGAATAATAATTCTATCTATTATCAAATTAAAGAAGCCAACCTTTTTCAGATATGTTTGAGGCATTTGGAGATCCATCAAATATAAGAATGGTCTCATTTCTCTCCTTGAGAAATCTTTGTTCATATGGTACATTCTCATCCTGAATTTCAACAGCCGAAGTCAGATTAATGTCAAACTGAGACTTGTCAGATGTGACACCTACTGGTTCCACTAACAAAATGTCCATGTTTGTGTCTTCTGCTTCCAGAGTATTTGATGGTTCAACAGTGATATTTTCAGGTACAGAACTAGTTTTACCTATATCTTGCTGAATAACCACCTCAGTGATGTTCTCTGTCTCTTCTAATTGATATGGCTTTCTTCTCTCCATATCTATAATCTCTGTAGATTGAAATTTGCGTTGTTCATGTTGTGAACCAACAAATTTGGATTCATTCCCAGTTAATTCTTTTTTAAATTCAATTTGCTTAATACCATGTGGACAGTCAGATTTATCTGTTTCAATGATGACTGGCATTTTCATTACATCTTTCAGAACATCTGAAGGCTTGTCAGTAGTTTGTTCAAATCGGGCATTCATAGTTTCACTTTGTTTCCCATGTAAGTCTATTTGCACCTCACTTTGTATAGTGTCAGGTTCCAGATTTATTTCCATCTTAGCTAATGTCATTGCAATTAGATTTTCTATCAGGCTTTCTTTCACTGTCTCTTCCGTTAAAATATCTAAGAATTCTTTGACTGGTTCCTGTTCTATGATATTATCAGGTTCTACTGTAGGTAAATCGACACAAAGTATAATTTGTTTGGTATTGTCTGAAAGCTCCAACTCTGTCTCCTCTGACTCAGTTTCTCTCATGTTTGTGGTTGCTTCTTTAACTTCTGAAACCTTACCTTCAGAGAGAGCATTATTCACAATAGATTGAGCATCAATATTTTCAGTTTGTTTTCCGCCTGAGTGTATGTGTATTTCAGTTTGTATGTTGTCATGTTGAAGTTCTAATTCAGTCTCCTGTACACCCAAAATCCTTTCTGTGAATTGATCCTGTACAGGAACAGCATTAGTTTGCAAATCCATGGGTATATCTTCATAAAGTTTGATTTGTTGGGTAGCATGTTGCCATTTGAATTCAGACTTTTCAGTAGGTTCATTTGCCAGAGTTACCTTAAAAGAATCTTCTTTTGAGACATCCGAAGGCTTTTCTATTAATTGTTTCTGTTCATATTGTAAATCACATTTAGTCTCCACTGATAGACGAGCACTTGCCATTTCTATCAAAACTGTCTGTTCTTTGTTTTCTTTATCTCTTCTATCTTGCATCTCTCTTACATTTTCAGATGCAATGACAGTTGATACTTTTCCTGTAACTGCTATTTCATTAACCAAATTTTCAGAATGTTGGTTTTCATGTGTGTCATTTTTTAGTAGACCTTGATCAAAGAAATAGTTTTTGTTTGTAAATTGTCTGTCTGTAATGTCTTCAATGCACTGATTAAGAAGTTCATCAGCATACACAGAAATATGTTCAGGTACTTCATGTGTTGAATCAATATGAGTTTTAATATCATGTTGTCCATCACTATGCTGTATTTGTGAATACCATTCAACTGGTTTGGCCATTTCTGTTGTTACTGCTCTTGGTATATCTACTTCAAGGACTAAATTTTCATCAAAATAAATGTCATCACCTACTTCATCAGTAGATTTGTCTTTTAAATTATTTCTAATTACTCCTTCTTCCAGAATTATTCCAACTTTTTCTGCTGGTGTCATGTTAATATCTGTCTCATAAGGTTCATTAAAATCTATTTTGTTGGGTTGTCTAGTAATTTTAATACATTTTTCAAAGAGGACATCTGGTAACTCTTCCGCATCAGGATCTCTTAGAGAATCATGTGTTTGACTGAACCTAACCACATTTTCTATTATTTTTGTGTTTGCCTCTTCAATATGTTCATTTGCTAATGACCTGTCTTGTGGATAAATAACATTGAATGGTTCATACATTAAATTTGACTTTTTTGTAAGTTCTTTGATTTGAAGTTCATCATTAACATCCTTATCCAGGACATCAATATTTGGAGCATGAACGGAAATTACCATTTGGTGTATAGCATTAACAGGCTCTAGATGAACATCAATATTATGGTATTTCATTTCATTTCTATTTGGTTCAGCACTGCTACTAGCCTCTTCCCTTTCCACCTTCTTTATTGATTCATTGGAAGTTTGTGTATCATCTTTAACTGCATCTATCCTGGTTGCAGGTACTACATCTTCATCCTTCATATGCTTTTGTTTTATGTAAATGGTATTTGGTTCCTTAGAAATAATTTCTACAGAGGTTTCCTTAAAGCGCTGATGCATCAATTTTAATGCCAATTCATTATCTTCACCTGGTTGGTCATCAGAATTAAATTCAATTTCATAAGCCTGCCTAGGATTTTCTTCAATTAATAACTCGCCTTCAAAATTTTCAGTGGAGTCTGTGTTATCTTGAATAATTGAGGTTTCCTCTGCAAATGACACTTTCTTGTTTTCAGAAACTAACTTGGTTTTTAATTCTTTGCTAATTAATTCTATTTCTGGTTTTTGTGTAAAAGTAGCTTCTTGTGTGAGTTCTGTGTCTGTAATATGCATAGTATCTTCCTCAATGTTACCCTGCTCCACTTGTTTTTTCAGTATTTCCTGCATCAAAACATTTCTCTCCACTAGATTTTCTATAGACTTTTCTACAAACTCTTCTTGTGATTTATCAGACTGCAAATCTCTTGGTTCAATAAATGATTTGCTTTTTTCATTCTGCTCGGATGGATCAATGAATACTTGAGACTGTAAATCTGAGGTTTCACAAAAATCTATACCACTCTCAAATTCACTGGTATCTCCAATATCGGTTTCATTCTTGTCAGTCGATGACACAATGGATGAGATGTCTGGTTCACATGTCAATTCATCAGCCGAAAAATCTTCCTTGCATGATACTTCTACTCATCAAAAAGATTTGCAATAAATAAGCGTATTGTGAAGACAGTTAGGCGTAATTAACTATGGTGCAATGTTTCATGCAAGACAAGTCTTGTGTCAATCTACTGCTCCATGATAATTTGGAATTTAATTCTACAATGCTTTATTGAAAATTCTAATTCAACAATATTGTGAATATGCTACAGTAAAATGAATACTAAGCCAAAAAAATTGACTTCATTCTGTATAAAAGATAAATTTTATTGTTTTAACAGTGTGCAATTATTATACTACAGTACTCTATTAGAACCCACTGTTCTTAATGACTGTCAGATTAAAAGTTATCTACACAAACACAGAATGCAATGACATTGAGATTTTTTTTTTTTTTTTTGTCTCTACCCTCTTATTTACATACACTGTGTTCTACAAGGTTCATCATTACCGGAAAACTTCAGCTATATTATATAAAATATCTACAAAGAGTTTCAAAGACTGTGCTTCCTATGCAAGACATTAACTTTGGAATGTGTGCACAAGAAGACTAACATTAAAAGTATATGACTGAAAATGTGAATGAAAACTGTACAGGTATAATAAATAGAAAGTAGAATACATCCTACTTTAATGAAAATGTTTAATTAAACAAAAAAAGAATGATTTGAGGTCTATGCTTGAGAACATAGTGTCTTTTGTGATTTTATTGTAACACACTAATTGATATTTTCAGCCACACCACCCTTAATAATTTACTTATCTGTGAGGTGGATGATAGCTAATATGCAGTCATAAAGTTCACCAAATAAATATTAGTAATCTATGAGGGAAACAATCTATACATATTTTGCAAGCAATTGTATCTGGGCTGCACAAACTCATATTAAATTTACACTGTTTAAAGTTCACTTCAGCCAAATAACTGCATACATAATATATACTACATATAATATACATGTAATAAAAAAACATAAATGGGTTTCATGTAAAAATATGAAGGCACACATATCCAAACATGAAACATTTTTGTTTGTTCTGTCTGCATTATCACAAAGAATAATCTGAGTCATTGATTGGTCAGAATACTTTTTTCTCATGACATTAATTGGAGGCATTCCTGTAAATATGGGATTCATTATATATTTCTTATCTGTAATTCAAAATTGAAGGAATGTACAACTCATGGGAGGAATGACTAAGAACTTGCCTTCAACAAGAAGCTGTGCTGTACATGTAACTTCACCAAGATGGTTAACTGCTTTGCATGTGTAATAACCTTCATCTTCCGGTATAATTTCCTGAATATGTAATTCACAAATGCCTTCCTCTGTATGTTTGACAATATATTCTGGCTCATCTGTAATCTCATTGTTATCAACATACCATGTAACCTGTGGTGGAAATCCAAACATGAATTACTTTTGTGAATTTCACAGAATGGAAATATATAACTATATAATATTTTATTAATAATATATAAAACGGCAATGGTGCTTGTCATTACACAAATCAATCGTGATGTTGGTAGTCTATGAGTGAGATGCCTGGATAACCGACTAATTGCCATTGTTCCCAAAACGGAACACCCTTTCGAAAAAAAAATGGAACAGTCCGACCCAAGGCGCCACATGCGAACCATCTCCCTAACAAACGTCCTCATTCCCTAAAGATCGACACGATCACGGCGAGGGTAGGAAGGGAGGGAAGGTTATCCAGGTAAGTATCTCACTCATAGACTACCAACATCACGATTGATTTGTGTAGTCTATTTTGTGAATACTTACCTGGATAACCGACTAATCGCCAGATTAGAAGCGTACAGAGGAGGCGGGCGTGATCAGAAACCAGAAGACTTACCTACAGAGACGGCTTCAACACAGCAGCCGCTACCGACGCCTGGGTCGACAAGACATCCCACAAGTAGCAAGATGAAAACGTAGTCTCCGATCTCCACCATGCCGCTGCAAGAATGTCAGCGAGGGGGAACCCGCGAAAGAAGAAGCCACCATGCCGCGAACCTCGTGCATGTGGGCAGGTGGAGGCTTGCGAACCGATGCATAAGCGGCTTGGATGGCCGAAACAACCCAGTGAGCAATGGTATCAACAGAAGCACGCCCATGGGGCCGAACTGAAGATACAAACAAATGCGAATCCTTGCTGCGCAAAGGACGCGTGCTATGAATGTAAAACCGCAGAGCTCGCGTACGCCCAAAACCCGTCCCATGAGATGGACAGGGCATCCACTGCCCACGCTGTTGGTTCCGGAAACCGGGAGAAAAACATCGGAAGCTGAGTGTTCGAGCTCGTCGCAAACAGATCTAGGTTGGGACGCCCGAACGTGTTGAAAATATGCTGGGCCACGACCGGACACAGCCCCCACTCCGCCGGACGGAGTGGAGGTAACTGACGTCGAGACAGCGCATCGACGACATTCAGTCAGCCGGGAATGTGAGCTGCTCGAAGATGAATGCGATGGCTTAGACACCAAAGCAGGAGCTGCCATGTATGGAATCATAGCCTTGGTGAATGCGTGCCGCCTTGACGGTTGATGTAGGAGACCACGGTTGAACTGTGGGAATGAACTAGCACAGCTTTCCCCTTTGCCCGATCGACGAAAGCCTCCAGAGACCGACGAACTGCTAAAAGCTCCAGAACGTTTATGTTACTGATGGATTCTTCCAGCGACCAGTCCCCCGCGACGCGCTCCGTGAGTGAACAACCGCCCCAACCCCCAAGGGAGGCATCGTCCGAAAAGCGAAAGTCGGGGAGAGGGTCGGGGAAAGACTTCCCGCCCTGAAGCACGTTCTCCTGAAGCCACCACCGGAGGTGCCTGGCGACAAATGTGTTCAAGGGAATCCGAGCTGACAAGTCCCGAGACGCTGGAGAGAAAAACGCGAGCAGATGCAGTTGAAGAGGGCGCATGCGAAACCGGCAATAAGGAACTAGGTCTACCAGACTCGCGAGCAACCTCAACATCCGCAGCCACGACTCGGCTCGGAAATGCGGAAGGGAAAGAAGCTGAGTGATTGCTAGCTGACACTTGCGGATCCGACCCGTGGAGGGGAACGCCACAGAACGAACAAAATCGATGTGCGCCCCCAGATACAGCAGAAATTGCGTGGGAACCAAAACCGATTTCTCCCGGATGATAATGAACCCTACTGTTTCCGTCATGTCTAAGACAATGCTGAGATGATGCAACAGAGTTGCTCGGGAATTTGCGACCACGAGCCAGTCGTCTAGGTACATGAAAATCCTTATCCCTCTTACGTGGAACACTGCACCTAGGGATTTTACCACCCGTGTAAACACCCGAGGAGCCATGGATAGACCGAAAGGGAAAACCTTTGAACTGATACGTACGACCATCCAGACGGAAACGCAGCAAAGTGCGATCTTCTGGGAAAATAGGCACGTGAAAGTAAGCATCCTTGAGGTTTATAGTAGCGGCCCATTCCCCGGGCATGAGCCCCTGGAGAATAAGAGCGAGAGAGTCCATGCGGAATTTTTGCGGCCTGATCCATTGGTTCAGCCGCCGCAGATTTAGGATAGGGCGCCATCCGCATGACGATTTCTTTGTCAGGAAGAGTGTGGAAATGAACCCCTTGTCTTCGGTAGTCGGGAAAACTTCGACTACCGCCCCTTTCTAAAGAAGGTCGTTCACCCCTGAAAACAGGGCTTCCCTCTTCTCGGGGGATGCTGGAATGGGCGTATTCATCCCTCCGGACGCAACCGGAGAGGAAGTAAACTCTATCTGGTACCCACAGGATATAGTCTGCATGATTCAGCTGTCCGGAGACAGCCATTCCCATTCGTGGGTGAAAAGCATCAGCCTCCCCCCTACCGGGCCGGTCCCTCCTTCTACTGAGGAACCGGGCCCCCCCATGAACATCAGGAACGAGGCCCTCCCCCGCCGCCGTGCCCTGTCAGTTGAGGGGGCAGCCTGGGCGAATTGTCGATTGATGGCAGGAGCAGAAATAAGGCCAATGCCCGCCCGAAAAAAGCCAATGGTGTCCGGGAAGAAAGGTGGGTTCGCTTCAGCATCAGACAAGAAGGACAAGCAAACCCCGCCCCATTCACGGCGCGTATGCCCTCCCGAGCCGCGCGGTCCACAAAGGCCAAAGCCTCCTCAGCCGCGCCCTGAGCTTTGTTAGAAAACAAAGCCTTAGAAGTAGAAGAGAGCTTCTGATCCTCCCACAGTCTGCCCTTGGCAGCGCGAGGAATGGGCGGCGCCTGAATGAACTGCTTGAACTGGTCCTCGGGGACCGGAAAAGCAGACGTAAGATGCCGTGGCGCGGCAACCGGCTTAGAATTCGTGCGAAGGATGAGGTCCGGGTGGAGTCCCACAACCGGGACAGGGTGGGCGGGACGCGCAGGAGCTGGCGGCCCCCACAGGCCTGCCCCCAAACCATCCCGGCATAGAGTCTCAAAAGAGACCCCCAAATGGTCAAGGATGGGCGGCATTGCCCGGGCCACGAGCTGAGAGAGATCGGAGCCGAGGACAGTGTCCTCAGATTCCGACTCAAGATGCTCGGACGAGTCGTCCATAGGCGACTCGCCGACCACCCGGAACCCATCCCCAGGGACAGGATTGGCAGGGGGAACCGGCACCGCCGAAGCGGCCCGCATTCTGGCGAAAACCTCCCGAGCCACCTGGCCCACCTGCTCCGAAATGAATGCAACCAGCGCCGGGTCCAGCGGAGAGGAAGGACCCACCGAACACGAAGCCGACGAACCCTCCAGTGGTAGTGGTGGTGGAGAGTCATCCGGCGCCGCTACAACCCCTCACGCAGCCGGCAGCGAACTCTGAGATCGAGAGGCAGTCTGAGCTGCCCAATCCAGAGCCGCCGCAAACTTAGTCGGGGGCCAGCGCGCACAAATCTCACAAGGCTCAGCCTTGCTGCACGAGCGACATAATAGGCACTCCGAGTGCCGGTCGAGCTTAACACTCGGTTTGGGGCTCCCACACGCCGTGCATAAAGACTTGCGAGCGGACATGGAAACCGATCGAGACTACAATAAAAATAAAAGGATATCTTGTCAACCACTAGTTGAAAATAAATCCAAGGAGAACAGAATTGCTTGAAAAGTCCTGCTAGTTTTCCGAAGACTTCGAACAACGTCGAAAAGGAAATGAGGACGTTTGTTAGGGAAACGGTTCGCACGTGGCACCTTGGGTCGGACTGTTCCATTTTTTTTCGAAGGGGTGTTCCGTTTTGGGAACAATGGCAATTAGTCGGTTATCCTGGTAAGTATTCACGAAATATACTGATGACAACAATTATGAGGCAACTTTAATAGTACAGCTTATAAAACAGTTAATAATAATTAGAAATAAGAATAAAAGCTAATTTGTTATGGTGTTCAGATTTGTGTTGAGACAAAAAGTTAAACTTTTGTTACTAATTTTATGTAATAATAATTAGAGGTAGTGTTGATAATGAACAAAATTTTAATGAATAATTATTCTTCGATTTTACAATGATGATGTGAGAGTGAGGATTTGAGGGTACATATGTCAAGAGGTCGAGCAGAAAAAGCCTTGACTTCAGTGCTGTTTGACTCCTCGTCTAGGGTTCGGTTCATAGAACCAAGTGTTCTCAGATAAGAACACCTGCAAATTTTTGGAAGAGTAGGGCTTACCCTAATGCTCTAGTTCATTGCAGAACCTGTCATCGGGGAACGATGTGAACATGTCTGATAAAGTAGTCATGGATCATGCAATTTAGCACAATGTTGCTTTAATTGTTAAATGATTTTCAGTGTACTGTATTATTGAGCATGAAATAAAAACAAACAAATGATGCTGTAAATTATTGTTTGTTCTCCTTTACTTCGGTACCTACTGTATGTGATAATAGTTCATTATAAAAGAGTGTTACCTGAGGTCTAGGTACACCAGCAACTGCACACTGGAAAAATACAGATTCTCCATCTACAGCAATTGACTTTGTTTCAAGTACTTTAGTGAAGTATGGAGCACATTCTTCCACTTCTGGGATTATTGACAGTTCAGAGACCTCTGATATTGGGGCTTCTTCGACCTTTTAACATTAAAAATAAAAATAAATATCACAACATGCTTTGATGATCTGCCAGGATTTGTTAAATTATGAACTTGTTATCAATTTAGCAAGTTAAAAAAAAATGGTCGGATAATACAGCCCAAAAGTTTCCAGTTTAATATCTGGCAAGTTCAAAATTGCTTTTGCCTATACTTTAAATCTTATGTTTACAAAAGGGGCCTTTATCTGTATTTAGCAATAGTGTACCGTACAGTACCTTTCCTTTTGTTTAATTTTAGTTTGAAAGGTTTCACTTGTCTGCTTTCATTTCAGTTTTATGCTATCTTATCATTGTTTTTGATTAACTTTTAGTTACTTTTGAATTTCATGATTGTAAACTTTTTTTTGTTATATGTACTGTATGTACCAGGGCTTTCTTGGAAAGCAGTACTAGTCACTGAATGGATACGACCTGGTTAAAGAAAGGTTGAATAAATAATATCAAGGTAAATAATTCTTGTTGTGTACTTTTAATCTTGGCCAGTGATGTTTAAAAGATTGTACTGTATTTCCATTTATTCTCCTATTTTCCTATTTATTATAGGTTGGTGAGAGAATGCCTCAACAATACGATTTGAATTTTTACCCAAAATATTTTCTTAACCTGATATTTTGAAAAAAAAGTACAGTATTTATGATAATATGATATAGTCAGTGTGAAATCATTTGTAAGTTATTCCACTTCTTTTGCTTTAATTGAACTTATTAACAAAATTATGGATTTTAAACTTTTGAATACAGACTTTGTGGTGTTTCTCTTAACATTTTCGAAAACTATGATTCAAACAGACTTCAATGGACAATAATAATAATTAAGAATTCTGACTTTATATCTATTATTTGTGGTGTGAGTCAAGGATATCGCTTTAATATTTTTAACTTATCTTGATGATCTGCCCAATGTATCTGATATACATGTATGTTAACTTTTACCCGTATACAGATGATACTTCTATTTTTTGTTCTAATGATAATTTTCAATCTATTTTTTCTATTTCTGAGATCAGGAATCAGGAAGGGGAAAAATATTTTTTAAACATTGTAAACAGACCTTCATTTAATATTAATAAATGTAATTTCATGCTGATTTAATTCCTAAAAAGGACCAGTAAACATAATGATCAGTAATCAATAGTCTCATTTGTAAACATACCCAATTTCTTGGCATTGAAATTGACCATTAACTAAATTTTAAATTCATAAAATGGAAATTAAAATATTAAAAAGCATAAGTACATTGTGTCCTCTTTCTTCCCTTCTACTATTTAATGTAATATACATATTTTATATAACACTAATGCTATCTTCCTTTCATTAGTTATCAATAATTAATAGAGTACCAATAATAGTATTGTGACTATATACTAGTCTGTAGTCATAGCCTTGCAACTCACTTTTCGCTAGTAAGACTAATTGGTGAGCTCAGCAATAAACAGTTCAGACGCTAACTACATACGTAAATGTTACAACATACGTATAAAAATTGGATTGTGCTACTATTAACATTAAACATTATTGTACTTGTTTGTGTCTCATAAATTGTGAGCATCCCAAATGATTATTTATAAAATAAATCATATCAGCTGTTACAATTGTCAAGCCATTATGATGTATCTCTTTTTCAGATGTTGAAACACATTACTCGTTTTATCATTTTGACACTATGAAATGAATGAGTTAGATTATTACCTGAAAATGGAATTCAGATTGGACAAATTCTTCTGTGACATGTGGCTTCTTTGGTACAAATTGAATGACACTGGCTGATATTTCAACAGGTGGCTGGATCTCAATAACTGGTATGTCATGCGATGGTACTTTTTTCTCTTCTGGAGTTGGTTTTGATTCTTCTAGTCTAGGAAGCTCATCGGGCTCTTCTATAAAATAATATGTATACAATCTTTCAATTTCTTTATATCAAAATTAAATTTAATTACTTACGCAGTACGAAATAATAGTTTCCATCAGAAATACTCACGGAACTCAAAATTCACAAATGCAAAGACATGGAAAAAAAAACAGAAAAGACATCAAAAACAAACAAAAAATTATTCTGATTCATAGTACTGGTAACCTTCATTTTTGTTTTACAGTAGAACCCTTTGTTGGGACATACATATTCAAGGGAACTCTTTTCCATGAAATGGAACATATCTTTTAAATAAAATATATCTTTTAATAGTACGGCAAACCCCTATAAGGGAACACCCCATTAATGGGATGGGACTCTTTCTGAGTGGTCCAAATGGTCAAAGCAAATACATATTCGACCTCTATTATTTTTTTTTTTTATTGTATCACAACAACTATTGGTCTCAAAATGGGAATAATTCATTCAAATATATACTTCGACACCTTTTCAGCAATACACCATAATTTTTCTCCTAAATCCTAAATAAAAGATATTGGTATAGGTCTACGGCATGTGTTTCTCTGTTGAATGAACCAATCATCAGTTTTACCCTTGGAATTTCTTTTATGAATTTCATATAGGATTCTAATCCATACAGTAACCTTCACTCTGACTGCTCTATTCATGTTACTGTATCTTGTGCATCAAATTGAAAGTATAGTATACTCGCACCACTAGCAACATAGTGTAGATGAAGAACCTTATATATTACCAGTAACATTGAGTTTTGCTTCACAAACAGCCAATCCAACAGGATTTGTTGCCTCACAGACATAGTTTCCACAGTCATCCACAAAAACATCTACTATTTCCAAAACATAGAACTTTCCATCAAATCGGATCTTGAAGTCTTTTGAAGGCTGATAAAAAACATATACACAATGTTACATTCAAAAATAAAAATGTATTTACAAAGATGCATTTGGTAATAGTTTTACTTACAATTGCATATTAGCAGTGGAAGCACTGGCAAAAGATGCAGGAGACAGGCTTTGTACAGGCAAACCCCCACCTGTGTGAACCACAAATTTTTTTTACCCTTTTTAAAGAATTTTTTTTCCTATAAACATCATTGAAGAGTATAAAATGAGCCGAAACGAAGCTTTTCTAGGTGCCAGGGCTTTCCCCCGAATCTGCTGGTCTTCCTTCCTACTCTGATATCATGATGTCTATGCTTTAAATAATTTATTAGCTTTTGGTACACACAATTTATTAATTTCATCTATTCTTGATTGTTGTAATTTTATATGTTTTGATAAAATATTGCTCTTATTGTGGATAAGGACTTTTTACTACCACAAAATGTTCACCTCAAGTTCTTGTTCATCCTTCAGCCATCTGATACTGATTGGTGCACTCCCAGTTACCTGAACCTCAAATACAGCATTGTTACCCTCAACTATCTCTAAATCTTCAAGCGTAGTTATGAAGCGAGGAGGTTGCATGGTAACCTCCACCTTTGCCTTAGGTGGTGTTGGAGGTGGAACAGACAATTGAGAAATTGGGCTAGACTTTGTTTCTCTGATTTCTAGTCTCTGCTCTTCTGGTTCTGATTTCCTTTCTCCTGTAGCCAACTCCAATACATCTTCTTCCTTGTCAAAAGCTAAATTAATATATTAAATGATTATTTCTAACATCAAAATGCACAAAATTAAAGAACAGGTTTGAACCATGCTGCTGGATTGCTCTCTAAAAACTATTCATAACCTTCTACAAGCAAGAAGCTGAATATAGCCATGACATATGCAGACAATATATGATGTTGTATTAAGTGGAGTTTGCAGACTGATGCCTATTAAACTTCTTTGACTATGTACTACTCTTTGGTCATTCAATTTATAATACACAGTGCAACAAGTTAGAAAAGTGAATGAATTATTTTACACTATCGAACATTAAGTGGTAGGAAAACAATGATTAGAATGTCAGAGTTATTTCCAACATTCTACTGATTCATTGTATTGCTTGGTATAAAACAAGGACCAATTTGGAATAACTGTGTGGGAAGTTCCTTGTTTTCTTAATTTACAGTTTTTATTTCTACATAAATATGTTTACAGCACTAATTATTTAGTATCATTTGCAAACATTGCCACATATATTTATTTATTCCAAACTCAAACATACTAAACAATTTTAAAAAACATGCAAATCCAATGCAATCAAATTGTTCTGTATTTCCTTAACTTACAATAATGTCTAACTATATAAAATCTTTCACGGCATAAATTAAATAGTATTATTAATAAACATTACCACCATCTATTTATTTTGAACTCAAATACACTAAACTTTCAACATGCAAAATCCAATCGCTCTATACAGTACGGCAGGATTTTTTTCCCTCTGCTACTGAAACATTGCAATGAAGTATGCAAATGATTTGTATTCATAAACTATACCCAACAACTCCAGGGCAGCAGAAGTATGCGCCTCCCCATGCTCATTGGTGGCTCTGCATTTAAACACTGTCTCATCTTCTTCAGTTGCATTTGATATAAGCAACATAGAACTCCCATCAATTTGATTGAGAATGACATATCCATCACCCTGTAATGGTTCTCCAGCTTTGAACCATTTGATGGAAGGTTGTGGGTTTCCTGTAACTTGGCATTCAAACCTCACTTCTGTATCTTTATGTGTTTGTACCATATACAGCTCCCGTGTAAATATAGGGCTTTGAACATTTTCTATAACATCCTTCAACATTTTCTGTACAGATGTTATATCTGTTGGTTTACCCTCTTTGGTCTTGCTAGTATCTTCTGGAACTATTAATTGTGGTTCAGCAACTCCTGGAAGATGTAATGGTCCTGCTTAAAAAAGAGGAAAATAAAATTGCTATTATAAACAAATAGAAAATATTATTCAAATTCATTCAAAATATTTACTCATAAATGTAAACACACTTATAATACTACTATTCTGTGTGTTGCTTGCATCATTCCATGTGAGAACCAAACATTTAAGGCAGAAGCCTTATGAACTATTAAAATAAATACAAAAATCTCCCCCGCATACTAATATGAAGATGTCATTTTCGGATATTGCTTTATGTATAAAAACATGAAATTTGACAGATGTATTCATATTCATAACTAACATCTTCTTTTCAATCAGTCTCCAGCACTTTGTTAGTGCGATGAGTGTCTAATAATCCAATGCCTAAGTGGTACATGGTCAAACGTAAACTCCCATGATAACTCTTTACATTTCTGTTTAAACTAAAAAATATGCAATATGATACCGACTGCATTTTTAAAAGGCACAAAAATTCTTTAAGCCCTCTGCCCTCAAGTGGGAAAATCTGAAATAATGACAAAAAGGTGAAAAGTGAAAAAACAAATGTTTTTATGCCAACATAACTATTTATTCTAGTGTTGAAACTGTGTTGGAAAGGATTTATTCCAGTTTTTTGTTGCAACTATGATGGGTGGATTTGATTCCAGTAATTTTGTTGCACCTGCAATTTGTGGGATTCATTCCAGTGTATTGTTGCAACTGTGTGGGTATGTGGGCTACACTGTTTTGTAGATGGGTAGAATTTATTCAAGTGTCATGTTGCTGCAGGTGTGATGTATTCCCATTCTTTGTTTCAACTAACTATGATGTGGCATTCTGGTGATTACAAATATAATTGGTGGGATTCATTCTTGTGTTTTGTGGCGTGATGGTGGCTGAGATTCATTCTACTGTTTTGTCGCAATTGTGATAACTAGAATTGATTCCACTACTCTGTTGCATCAGTGATGGTGGCTTCATTTCAGTGCAATTGGTGTTTTGATAATTGAATATCCAACCTGCAAGAAACTTATCCTGAATCACCATGGTTTCCGACTTGACAAGATCATCTTCATTCATAATACCATGTTGTACATTATATGCCACATTTGACTTCTTATCCATCCAAGGTGTTGCACTATTGTTAATTTCATCATCTAGCTTAACTGATTTCAGTGTATTTAACTTCTCCACTTCCCTGTCAAGGATCAAGCTACCAAATGTAGAAGTCCGATGATTATGGTCTCCAATTTGGCATTCATAAACTCCTTCATCACCATCAAAAATTGGGTATATGACCAAAAAACAATTTCCATCTGAATCATTAATCATAATAAATCTCTCGCCTGCTGTTAGTAAACTACCATCTCTAAACCACATTACAGAGGTTAGTGGACTGGGAGTAGCTTGACATTCAAAGCAAGCAGTACCTCCAACTTTACTTCTACAATTGTTTAATTCTTTACAAAATGTTAGCTGCTGCAAATGTTCATTTTCAAACATACCATGCATGTTTCTTTCACTTTGTTTGTAGGATACGGTCTGAATATTTTCCTTAATTAGAGAATCGTCAGAGTCTGTTGAATATGAACTTCTTTCTATTTGTACATTTCCTTTTTCTATAGAAGTTTCTATATGGTTCAAAGTGGATTCATTATTGTGTTCATGGATTTTAGAATCATCAGATTTTCTTAAAATTTTGTTTGAATGTGAAATTGAACCAATCCTTTGGAAATTGACTTGACAATCTTTCTCTAAAGATTGAATAAGGTCATGTTCTAAACTGTATTCTGTCTTTGCAATAATTTCAGTAGTTTTACTTGAAACAAAACTACCAAAAACTGCAGCAGTTTCTGTTGAATCTGAAAGTGATTTTTCTACTTGCCAATCTTTTTTTGTTTCATTTGAAATCACTGCAGTTCTTTCATTTTGTATTGGACACTGCTTGTTTATAGAGCTGCTGGCTTCATCTTCTAATGCAGAGTCATCATCGGTATTACTTAGAAGATTTCTGTGAATAACAGACTGAGGTCTTTTGCAAATTACAGAATCAAACATTAAAACAGATTTACCAGTCACTGTTGCATTTGTTTCATGCCTCTTTTTCTCCTCATCACTACTATTTACCATAAAATTCTCATTTGGTATTTTTCCTGTTTGTAATATTTCTAATTGTTGTACTGTACTACAATGTTCAGTACTACAAGGCCTTGGCTTGCTATCTATAAATTGAAAAGCCCCTTGATCAACATCACAGTTTTGTATCACTAATTTTGGAAGTTGAACCAGGGGTAATAGTGTTGAGGCCTCTGCTTTAAGAGATTTTTTGGTGACAAATTGTTTAGGCCTGGCCTTTTCAAAAACGTTCAACATTGAAAAACAAGATGCACTTCCCATTGGATGTGATCCTCTACACTGAATTATTCCTTGGTCACTCTGCTTTACAGGCGTTATGACAAGAACAGCTCGATCATCATTACTATGTATACTCACAAATCGATCACCAGTAACATGTTTGCCATCTATAAGCCATTCAACTAAAGGTTTAGGATAGCCTAAAATGCTGCATTCTAATCTCACAGTACCTCCAATGTCAGTATTAATTTCGGGTGGAAGTGGTTTTAGAAATATTATCGGTTTAAAAACTGATTTCATATTACTTTGTGTTTCAAACATTTTAATCTTGTTAAATTTTGACAAAGTTTGAGAATCACTTTTAACCTCCTTATCAACATATAAGCAAGGTACATCATTAGCTTGATTGTCTGTCAGAATATTCAAATCGTCTTTAACAGTAAGCTTGGTTATTACTATAGCTACACCATGGCAGTTGACTGCTTTACATTCAAAAGTTCCAATGTCTCCAAAACATACATGGTTTATTCTTAGTTCTATTAATCCATCAGTATTGACAGTAACACAATATCTTTCTCCAACAACAGGTCTCCCATTCTTGAACCACTGAATTGAAGGATATGGAATACCAACAACCTTAGTAGTAAAATGCACACTTTCATCAAGACAGCAAGCAACAGGAAAAAGTTGTTTAACAAAGCAAGGAACTGTGCCTATTACTGCTTGTCTTTCTTTCAGGAATGGATAAGGACAGCAGATATGCGTACCAGAATTAATATTGTCTGACTTTGCTAGAGGGCGTTCTATATTTACAAGCTCCAATTGGTCACATGTTGACATTATCATAGTCTTCTGTTTTACAGTACATGCTCCCCTCTTGAATCGCAACTCTAAAAACATTTTAACCATTTTTACAAACTTGATATATTTAAAAAAATTAATAGTTGTAATACAGTAATACATAATGTGATTTAAAAATGAACAGACATTTTATTTATTTTATTTTGTTTTAATTGGTATTGGTAATATGTTTAATTGGTAACACAGGCTTTCTTTTTTCTTGTGCTAATGACTCATGGTTTTGAAATGGCAAACCTCAAACAGAAACAAAATGAAACGTTTAAATGAATATGATTGTCCATAACATTTTTAGTATCCTGATTTGATTTTTTTTTTGTAAATTCCTAAGTGAATATATTGTAAAACAAATAATGGTTCTAACCTTCTATTATGACTTCACAGTATGTAGATACTTTCCCAACAGAATTGGTGGCTCTGCATTCAAATTCTGTGTCATCTTCCTCTTCTACAGATTTAATGTGAAGCTCAGCAATACCATGATCATTCTGCAACATCTCATACTTGTCATCTTTTGACAACAAAGTTCCATTCCTGTACCATTGGATTTCTGCCTCAGGATAACTTTCAATTTGACAATGCAATGTAACAACATTGCCAAGTAAAGTTTCAACATCATCTAGCCTTTTTATAATCTTTAGTTTTGTCTGTGCACTTTCTGACACCCTTTCCAATACCGGTTTCAATGGTGTTTCCAACTCTTGTTCTATAACTGCCATTTTAGGCGAGGTCAATTTTGAATCTATTTTTGGCAATGTTAAAGGTTCCTCACCTTGTGGCTGAGCTACAACATTATCAGGTTGTTCAATAGTTGGCACAGAAACATCAGTCAGATCTTGTTCAATATCTTCTTGAGTTTCTGGCTTACATACATTATACTCAATACCAATAGAAGAGAGGTATTTCACTTCCTTAGGATATGCCTCTTGTTCATCAACAACAAATTCCTTTGAAGGAGACATTTCAACTGGAACATGTTCTGTCGGAGCAAAAATATCTCTATCTCTGTAAAGTACTTGCTCTGGCAGTTTTACTATTTTCATCTCTTCATAATTTGTTACCAATTCTAGTTCATATAATTTGTTGTCCATCTTTTCAGTCACAACTTTCTCAGAAAATTTACTATTTACTACCTCTTCTTCCTTTACACCAGTAACTAAATTAACAGAGCAAATTTCTGTGTCTTGCCGCTCTTGTAGAATATCAACCTTCAAATTTTCAGATACAGAAATATCCTCAATCTGTTTATGAGGTACATCCTTATTGGTAGCTTCAATAACAAATTCAACTTCAGTTTGTTCTTCTGGTATTTCAATCTGCTGTTCTACAAACTGTAAATTCTGATGTCCTGCATCTATTGAAACCTCTTTTTTATGTATTACATCAGTTTCAAATCTAGAAATAATTATGTCTCCATAAGTTGATACAGTGCCTTCTGTGTTTTCAGCATGGCATTCAAATTCAACATCATCCTCTCTCATAACAGGACTGATTAGAAGAACACATGTTCCATCTTTTTCATAGAGTGAGAGGAACCGATCACTCTTTACAGGTTTTCCATCAGAGAGCCATGTTATCTTTGGTTGCGGACTACCTGATATTTTGCATTCTAATCTAGCATCATCTCCAACATTAACCTCAACATCATTTAAGGCCTTTAAAACCTTTGGAGATTCATATATTACATCTACAATATTAGGTTCTTTTGGTATAGCAGATTTTGTTTTTTCTTTTTTTTCTGGCAGTTTTTCTAATATTGGCTGGGAAATTTCTATTGATATTTGAAATTGGGGTTGTTCCTCAGGTATTTCTATTTCTTGCTCATGTTCACCTACCAATGTATCTTCCTGAGTAACAGGGATGCTTTGAGGTTGAAATGTTTCAATTGGTGTTTCAACATCATCCTCAACCTCATCTAAGGCCTTTAAAACTTTTCGAGATTCATACATCACATCTACAAGATTAGATTCTTTTGGTACAGCAGATTTGGTTTCTTCTTTGGGAACCTCTTCAATAATATCTTCTTGAAGGTGTTCAATTGGTTCTGGCTGGCATATATCAAATGCCATTTTGGCTGGAGAGATGTCTTCAACTTCAACTGGATATGCTTTCTCTTTTTCAACCATTTTTTTGGAAGGCAAAATTCCTCCAAAATCTACTGAAATATGTTCTACTGGAACAGAATAACATATTTCTGGCATTTCTCCTTTAAGCAGTTCTTCAGGCTGAAGTTGCATTTCTGTTTTTTCAGTAGGTTGAAAATGAATAGCAACAGTATCCAGTTCTGGTACTTCAGGACTTCCAGTTATTATTTCATATTGAGGTAGTTCTGTAACATGTTCCACATGATCAATTTTAATGTCCTCAGCTGTTGATATACGTTCAAGAATATTTACTTCATTTTTTTCAGTTATTGTTTCATCTAGAATAATTTTATGTTTTACCATCTCGTCTGCCTCAACATCAATCACAATTTCTACCGGAGATAATCCTTGCTCATCAGTGTCAACTTTTGACTTTCCAGACATTGGTATATTCTCAATTGATAAAGGTGTACCACCATCAGTGGTCACTCTAGAGAGATGTTGTTCTTCTAATATTTCAAAAGGTTCTTCGCTTCGTTCAACTTCTTTTCCTAGTTTCAATTCAACTGCTGGAAGAGACTGTGTGTCCCTTTCTATGGTAACTTCTGTTCTAATTTGTTCATATTTTCCAAATCTTGATTCTTTTAGAGCTTCCACCTCTGCTTTCTGTATTTCTGACTTTTCTGTGAGTTTTTCTAATATTGGCTGGGACGTTTTAATTGATATTTGAAATTTGGGTTGTTCCTCTGGTATTTTTATTTCTTGCTCATGTTCGTGTATCAATGTATCTTCCTGAGTAACAGGGATGCTTTTAGGTTGAAATGTTTCAATTGGTGTTTCAACATCAACCTCATCTAAGACCTTTAAAACCTTTTCAGATTCATACATCACATCTACAATATTAGATTTTTTTCGTACAAAAGATTGGGTTTCTTCTTTTGGAAACTCTTCAATAATATCTTCATCAAGGTGTTCAACTGCCTCTGGCTGGCATATATTAAATGTCACTTTGGCAGAAGAGACGTCTTCAACTTCAACTGGATATGCTTTCTCTTTTTCAACCAATTCTTTGGAAGGCAAAATTTCTCCAAAATCTACTGAAATATGTTCTACTGGAACAAAATAACATATTTCTGGCATTTCTCCTTTAAGCAGTTCTTCAGGCTGAAGTTGCATTTCTGTATTTTCAGTAGGTTGAAAATGAATAGCAACAGTATCCAGTTCTGGTACTTCAAGACTTCCAGTTATTATTTCATATTGAGGTAGTTCTGTAACATGTTCCACATGATCAATTTTAATGTCCTCAGCTGTTGATATACGTTCAATAATATTCACTTCATTTTTTTCAGTTATTGTTTCATCTTGTATAACTTTCTGTTTTACCATCTCGTCTGTCTCAACATCAATCACAATTTCTACCAAAGATAATCCTTGCTCATCAGTGTCAGTTTTTGACTTTCCAGATGTTGGTATATTCTCAATTGATAAAGGTGTACCACCATCAGTGCTCACTCTATGGAGATGTTCTTCTTCTAATATTTCAAAAGGTTCTTCACTTCGTTCAAATTCTTTTCCTAGTTTCAATTCAACTGCTGGAAGAGACTGTGTGTCTCTTTCTATGGTAATGTCTGTTCTAATTTGTTCATATTTTCCAAATCTTGATTCTTTTAAAACTTCCACCTCTGCTTTCTGTATTTCTGACTTTTCTGTGAGTTTTTCTAATATTGGCTGGGAAGTTTTAATTGATATTTGAAATTTGGGTTGTTCCTCTGGTATTTTTATTTCTTGCTCATGTTCGTGTATCAATGTATCTTCCTGAGTAACAGGGATGCTTTTAGGTTGAAATGTTTCAATTGGTGTTTCAACATCAACCTCATCTAAGACCTTTAAAACCTTTTCAGATTCATACATCACATCTACAATATTAGATTTTTTTCGTACAGCAGATTGGGTTTCTTCTTTTGGAAACTCTTCAATAATATCTTCGTCAAGGTGTTCAACTGCCTCTGGCTGGCATATATTAAATGTCACTTTGGCAGAAGAGATGTCTTCAACTTCAACTGGATATGCTTTCTCTTTTTCAACCATTTTTTTGGAAGGCAAAATTTCTCCAAAATCTACTGAAATATGTTCTACTGGAACAGAATAACATATTTCTGGCATTTCTCCTTGAAGCAGTTCTTCAGGCTGAAGTTGCATTTCTGTATATTCAGTGGGTTGAAAATGAATAGCAACAGAATCCAGATCTGCTACTTCAGCACTTTCAGTTATTATTTCATATTGAGGTATTTCTGTAACATGTTCCACATGATCAATTGTAATGGCCTCAACTGTTGATACACGTTTATTATTAATATTTATTTCCATTTTTTCAGTTACTGTTTCATTTTGAATAATATCCTGTTTTATCATTCCATCTGTCTCAACATCAATCACAATTTCTGCCAGAGCCAATCCTTGCTCGTTTGCATATTTAGGCTCTTGAACATCAATATCAACTTTAAACTTTTCAGACATTGGTATATTCTCAATTGGCAAAGGTGTACAACCATCAGTGGTCACTCTAGAGAGATGTTCTTCTTCTAATATTTCAATAGGTTCTTTGCTTCGTTCAACTTTTTCTCCTAGTTTCAATTCAACTGCTGGAAGAGATTGTGTGTCTCTTTCTATGGTGTCTGTTTCGATTTGTTCAACTTTTCCAAATCTGGACTCTTTTAGAACTTTCACCTCTACTGATTTTTCTGGCAGTTTTTCTGATATTGGCTGGGAAGATTTAATTGATATTTGAAGTAGGGGTTGTTCTTCTTGAGTAACAGGCATGCTTTGAGGTTGAAATGATTCAATCGGTATTTCAACATGTGGTTTTTGACCAACCTCAACAAATTCCTTGTAACCTTGAATCAACTCAACATGTACAGGTTCCATCTTATTCACTTGAGGTTTCTGAGGCAATTGTACTTGTTTGTCAATTGCATTTTGCTTTCTGAAACCAGCACTTGATTCTTGCTTAAATTTATCCATTACAACTTGCTCTTCAGTCACTTCTGAGTCAACAATGTCCTCTATGGCATGGTCTGATTCAAGAGGCAATGAATCCATGAACTTCTGAAGCATATTCTCACGAGGTAGGTCTATGTCCTGGGTACATTGTACATCATCATCTACCACATCAGCTGTGTCTTTTGTAGTTGTTGTTATAGTTCTTTGTTTTGTTATTTTCTTGATCATCCCAGAATCATCACTGACAACATTTATCGCTGTATTCAAGCCAATATCAAGAATATGCTTCTCTTTTGGCTTGCTCTTAACTTCACCATTAATGTCTCCTAATAGAAATCAATATTAGATATACAGTACACTGCAACCATCAGTTAAATATGATTTTTTTTTTTATTAAAATGAAATTTGAATTAAAAAAGTAGGGATTCTAAGGCTGTGTTTCTGCAGCACTTCAAAAATTCTCCGATAAAATACCTTTCAAATTATCTAAATATTTTATGCAATGTGTTCAACATGAAAACATTAATTTATATATATATATATATATGTGTAAATGATATAGATAGGGCCTTGCCCAGGACAAAAAACGCGCTATTATCTGTACTACTGTACTTATTTTTTGGGAAACATTTTGTCAAGACTAAATGCTGTTGGGCAATAGAAATTAATAAATTACTATCATTATTAAATAAGACTATATATCTTTACATAGGGAATAAGTAGAAAAATAATTTGTTGTTTGGCATACTCTATTTAATGGCACAAAAAATAGCCAGCCTTCATTATTACTATATCTGTGTTTACATGCACGATACTTCCTCACTCCACTCACTAACTATAAAGTACTGTCTGTATATCTTCTTTGCAAAATGTACTAGCCATGGTTTGTATTTTGAAGTGGTTTTCTTTTGACACCAGTAAAATGTCAATACAACAACAAATCTGGATTTAATGTTTCCGTATTCTGACTTGTTTTTAACGAATTATCTGATTTTTGCGGGATAATTTTTCAGAAATTCTAAGCTCTATATCAGCAATGTAAAATAGCAAGACGGATGATTTGTGATACTTTATTGGGTATTAAGTGCTGCAGAAACATAGCTTAAGTATATTCACACATCATCACTAACATGCTTAAAATCATTCTCCCTGTAAGTGGTATAAAACTGCAATAAAATTATTCACTTCATAGTCTTGGTTTGAATTTAAATGGTTTTAATAAAATACTTCATACAATATTAAAATGAAACAAAGATATCAATCACAATTAAAAACAATAAATACACATTGATATTAAAATTCAATGTTACCTTACCTGGTACTTCATTGCATTTTACCACTGCCGATGTTACAACCTTGCCGGCAGGATTGATACCTACACATTGATATAAACCTTGATCTTGGTCACTGAATGGTGTAATGATGAGAACACATGTACCATCAGCTTCAAATAAACAAATGCAATTGGGTTTATCCAGCACTTTACCATCTTTTATCCAGCTTAGATTTGGCGAGGGATTACCAACTATTTGGCATTCCAATCTGACATCTTGCCCAGTGTTTGCATAAACGTCATACAGTTCCACCTTGATTAATAACGATGGTTTTTCAAAAACCACTTCAACATGTTCAGTAACAGTTATTTCTTGGACAGCTTCCTCTGTAGTTTTTGGTAATGGCTCAAACGATACTTCTTTTTCTGATTCTTCCTCTTCCCTATATTCTACGTACTCTGGAATAAATTTACCCTCATTTTCTATCACTAATTCAATCGGTTGAAAGGTCTCAAATTCTGTTGTCCTAGTTACTACAGTTGTATGAGTCTCAGTTACAGATGTATCTTCCACGATTTCAACATAATCTTCATATTCTGGTACAAGCTCTTCTGATTCAGAAGGTTTTGGAACTTGCATTTTAAATTCTACTGGCTGCAAAGGCCTATCCTCAGTCTCAATCAACACATCGGTTTTATGTAATTCATCAGTAATTGTTGTTTCATACTCTGTTAATATTATGTCTGCATAGGTTGATACAACACCTTCTGAGTTTTCAGCATGGCATTCAAACTCAGCATCATCCTCTTCACATACTGGACTTATTAGAAGAACACACGTTCCATCACTTTCATGAAATGAAATGTATCTCTCACTTATTACTGGTTTGCCATTACGCAGCCACGTTATATCTGGTTGAGGGTGACCTCTTATTTGACACTCTAATCTAGCTTCCTTTCCTATATCAATGTCCACATCATTTAGAGGTCTCATAACCCTTGGAGCTGCTAACATCACATCTGGTTTAGGTTTAATTAACTCTGGTTCTTCCTCAATAATTTCTTCTTGTGCTTGCTCAATAATTTTTGGTTTACAAATCTCAAATGTCATCTCTCTTGGGGAAACTTCTGCTGCTTCATGATATTCTTTTACATGCCTATCCACAACTGTATCAACCGATTCTAATATTTCATCAAAGTCAACATCAATACATTCTTCTACTACACTTAATGATACTTCAACATCTGGCATTTCCCCTTCAGTTATCTCTTCAGTCTCAATATGTACTTCTTTCTTGTCTAGAGGTTGGATACTAATCATAACTCTGGAAGGCATAGTTTCTTTGGATTTATGGGTCTCATTTGTTTCAAAAGAGGTTTCTTTCATTACAGTCACTTGTGATGTGGTTGATACAGTGCCTACAACATTTTCTGCTTTGCACTCAAATACTGTATTATCCTGCTCTGTAACTGGACTGATAAAAAGCAGACAGCTACCACTTTTTTCTTGTAGAGCTACATAGCGTTCACCAGAGATGAATTTCTGATCTCTTATCCATGATATTGTTGGTGTAGGCTTGCCAATTATTTGGCATTCTAGTCTTGCATCTCCAGCCACTGGAACTTCCAAATCTTGCAGAGGAACCAGTACAGTTGGTACATTTCCTAAAAGCTGTTCTTCATGTATTTCAACATAATCTTCATATTCTGGTACTAGCTCTTCTGATTCGGAAGGTTGTGGCACTTGTATTCTAAACTCTACTGGCTGCAAAGGCCTATCCTCTGTGTCAATCAACACATCTGTTTTATGTACTTCATCAGTGATTGTTGTTTTATACTCCATTAGTATTATGTCTGCATAGGTTGACACAACACCTTCTGAGTTTTCAGCATGGCATTCAAATTCAGCATCATCCTCTTCACAGACTGGACTAATTAGAAGAACACATGTCCCATCACTTTCATGAAGTGAAATGAATCGTTCACTTTTTACTGGTTTGCCATTACGCAGCCATGTTATATCCGGTTGAGGGTTACCTGTTATTTGACACTCTAATCTAGCTTCCTTTCCAACATCAATGTCCACATCATTTAGAGGTCTCAAAACCTTTGGAGCTGCCAATATCACATCTGCTGTATCAACCAGACGTAATTTCTCTACATCTGGTTTAGGTTCAACTAACTCTGGCTTAGCAGAATCCAATGTTAATAATGGTTCTTGCTCAATAATTTCTTCTTGTGCTTGTTCAATCATTTTTGGTTTACAAATCTCAAATGTCATTTCTCTTGGAGAAACTTCTGCAGCTTTATGATATTCTTCTACATGCCTCTCCACAACTGTATCAACAGATTTTATTATTTCATCAAAGTCAACATCAATACATTCTTCTACTACACTTAATGATACTTCTACATCTGGCATTTCGCCTTCAGTTATCTCTTCAGTATTAATATGTACTTCTTTCTTGTCTACAGGTTGAATACTAATCGTTACTCTAGAAGGCATAGCTAATTTGGCTTCATGGGTCTCAGTTGTCTCAAAAGAAGTATCTTTGTTTACAGTCACTTGTGATGTGGTTGATACAGTGCCCACAACATTTTCAGCTTTGCACTCGAATACTGTATTATCCTGCTCTGTAACTGGACTGATTAAAAGCACACAGTTACCACTTTTTTCTTGTAGTGCTACATACCGTTCACCAGAGATAAACTCCTGATCTCTTATCCATGATATTGCTGGTTTGGGCTGGCCAATTATTTGACATTCTAGTCTCGCATCTCCAGCCAGTGGAACTTCTAAATCTTGCAGAGGAACCAGTACAGTTGGTACATTTCCTAAAAGCTGTTCTTCTTGTATTTCAACATAATCTTCATATTCTGGTACTAGCTCTTCTGATTCAGAAGGTTGTGGCACTTGTATTTTAAATTCTACTGGCTGCAAAGGCCTATCCTCTGTCTCAATCAAAACATCTGTTTTATGTAATTCATCAGTAATTGTTGTTTCATACTCTGTTAATATTATGTCTGCATAGGTTGACACAACACCTTCTGAGTTTTCAGCATGGCATTCAAATTCAGCATCATCCTCTTCAAAGACTGGACTTATTAGAAGAACATATGTTCCATCACTTTCATGAAATGAAATGAATCGTTCACTTTTTACTGGTTCACCATTACGCAGCCATGTTATATCTGGTCGAGGATTACCAGTTATTTGACACTCTAATCTAGCTTCCTTTCCAACATCAATGTCCACATCATTTAGAGGTCTCAAAACCTTTGGAGCTGCCAATATCACATCTGGTTTAGGTTCAACTAACTCTGGTTCTTCCTCAATAATTTCTTCTTGTACTTGTTCAATCATTTTTGGTTTAGAAATTTCAAATGTCATCTCTCTTGGAGAAACTTCTGTTGTTTCATGATATTCTTCTACATGCCTCTCCACAACTGTATCAACTGATTTTAATACTTCATCAAAGTCAACATCAATACATTCTTCTATTACTTCTAATGATACTTCTTCAACATCTGGCATTTCGCTTTCAGTTATCTCTTCAGTCTTAATATGTACTTCTTTCTTGTCTACAGGTTGAATACTAATCGTTACTCTAGAAGGCATAGTTAATTTGGCTTCATGGGTCTCAGTTGTCTCAAAAGAAGTATCTGCGTTTACAGTCACTTGTGATGTGGTTGATACAGTGCCCACAACATTTTCAGCTTTGCACTCGAATACTGTATTATCCTGCTCTGTAACCGGACTGATTAAAAGCACACAGTTACCACTTTTTTCTTGTAGTGCTACATACCGTTCACCAGAGATAAACTCCTGATCTCTTATCCATGATATTGCTGGTTTGGGCTGGCCAATTATTTGACATTCTAGTCTCGCATCTCCAGCCAGTGGAACTTCTAAATCTTGCAGAGGAACCAGTACAGTTGGTACATTTCCTAAAAGCTGTTCTTCTTGTATTTCAACATAATCTTCATATTCTGGTACTAGCTCTTCTAATTCGGAAGGTTGTGGCACTTGTATTTGTAATTCTGCTGGCTGTATAGGTATATCTTCTGTATCAATCAACACATCTGTTTTATGTAACTCATTAGTCACTGCTGTTTTACACTCCATTAATATCATGTCTGCATAGGTTGATATAACGCCTTCTGAGTTTTCAGCATGGCATTCAAACTCAGCATCATCCTCTTTACATACTGGACTTATTAAAAGAACACATGTTCCATTTTGTTCATGCAATGAAAAAAATCGTTTACCTTCTACTGGTTTGCCATCACGCAGCCATGTTATACGTGGCCGTGGTTTACCTGTTATTTGACATTCTAATCTGGCATCCTCTCCAACACTTATGTCAATATCATCTAGAGGTCTTACAACCCTTGGAGTTGTTAAGTTCACCTCTGCTCTATCAACTGGATACAATTCTTCTGCATTTGGTTTATGTTCAACCACATCTGGTTTAACAAAATCCAATTTCAATAGTGGTTCTTGCTCAATGATATCTTCTTGTATTTGCTCAATAGCTTC